AATTGCTTAAGTCATGTTTAAGAGCAACAACTAACTAATGTGTATGTCGGTTTAACATGAGAGTATGTTGAGATCCAATCTATGAATGGGCTGCCATGAAATACTATTTACAAAGTATATGAATGGCCAGGGCAGCTTGCACTGACTTTTTCCATGGAAAAATATCCACTACAGAAGAGTGTGTATTCGTTAAACAGAATAAAACAGAATGCTTGTTCCCATTTTCTGTTTGTTTTTAAATTTTTCTTTGCAACAAGCGCACATGCTGCTTTTTAAACAATGGTTCCTCGCAATTTAACTCAATAGCAGCCTCAGTTTGACATTTCAGCAGCTGCTGAGTCTCACTGATCTGAAGTTATAGATGCTAGTTTCATACTGAAGTTAAAACCAGCATTTAGCATTTTTAGTTTAGTTAATCAGAAGTCATGTTTTGGTCTTTTTGTGCTTTCTTTATGGTTTCCATTAGTTTCCCCAACATATATATATATATATATATATATATATATATATGTTTATATATATATGACATATACTCACCAAGCACTTTCTTAGGAGCACCTGTACACCTACCTATTCATCAATAATCTAATTAGCCAATCATGTGACATCAATGTAGTACATAAAATCATGGTCAGCATTGTTGGCTGATTGTTGCTGGTTGGGCTGGTTTGAGGATTTCACACAGTACAGTCTCTCGAGTTTACTCAGAATGATGCAATAAAGAAAAAACATCTAGTGAGCAACAGTTCTGCAAACAGAAAAACCTTGTTGATGAGAGAGGTCATTAGAGAGAGGCCAGACTGTGTCAAGCATACAGAAAGGCTACGGTAACTCAGATAACCACTCTGTACAACTGTGGTGAGCAGAAAAACATGTCAGAATGCACAACATGTCAAACCTTGAGGTGGATGGGCTACAACAGCAGAAGATCACATCTGGTTCCATTTCTGTCAGCCATGAACAGAACAGAGGCTGCAGTGGGCACAGGCTCACCAAAACTGGACAGTTGAAGACTGGAAAAACATAGCCTCGTCTGATTAATCTTTTTTTTTTCTGCTGAGGCACACAGACAGTAGGGTAAGAATTTGGTGCGAATAGCATGAATCCATGGACCCAACCTGCTTTGTGTCAGCAGTCCAAGCTAGTGGAGGTGGTGTAATGGTGTGGGAAATGTTTTCTTGGCACGCTTTGGGCCTGTTAATACCAATCAATCGTTGCTTGAATGGCGCAGCCTATTTGAGTACTGTTGCTGACCATGTGCATTTGATCTACATAAGCTACACAAACAATTTTTAATTGAACTGGATTACTATTCGAGTTAACTCAGAATTATTAAGCGCAAATTCTCTGCAAATTCTGATGTCTAGATTACCATGTCATGGTTTCATACATAAGCACATATGCATGCCATACACTTTTAGAGACACCTTGTTTGTAAAGTTAAAAACTGCAGCCTATGTGTTGATGCAGAATTTATGTTAGACATCCTGTAGCCTTTCATCGGTGGTCACTTTGTGACCACAGCGCTGCTCTTGGGCAGGTATTTTTGGGTGGAGGCCCTCTCTCAACCCAGTGGTGAAACTGTAAAAACCCCAGCAACACTGCTGCACCTCACAGAGTCATATTAGCACCACACTCTACCAAGACCTCATCCCAAAAATATCTGATCAACAATGGCCTTGTGGTCAGAAACTGACCAAAGATTAATTGTGCATGACAACAATTGTGCCTGTAGTTATATATAGAGGAGCTACAAAGGTAGGTGGACATCTTAAAGTGGTCAGTGAGTGGAAGAACAAGTGGACAGTAAGTCTATGAGCAGCAAAAAAGGGCTTGGAAATCACCTTGAGGGGAAGGACAAGAATAGTTTTTTTAATTTTTTCAAACTATTGTTTGTCAGCAACCAACAAAAACCATCTTCTTGTCCAACCAACAGCGCTTGTCAATGCTCCACAGACTCTGTTAGAAGAGAATGAAATGGACGGCATAAAACAATGCTCTGTCTATTATGTCATAAATGATGAGCACTTTGTCTCTGCATGTAGAAGCTTTCATTAAAAAAACAATATCTTTCAGACAGACACACACCATATACCTTGCTCAACATATCTGACCGAGAAAAACTGGTAAATTTCCTCTTCTGGACCATCACACCTATATTTTTTTCCTCTTTCTCGATTTCTGGCAGCAGTATGTCAAAATTTGGTCTTAATATTTCAAAATAATTACTTACTTTCTCTAAATGTTTACTTTGATGAAATGACAAATAATTTTCTTAAAATGTTGACTTACTATGCCTGAAATAATGACTTATTTTCTCGAAATGTTTACTTACTATGCCAAAATAATTAGTTACTTTCTCGAAAATGTGACCTACTGTGTCAAAATAATTACTTATTTTCTAAATATCTGGACTTAGTATTTTTAGTATTTAGTATTTTAGTATAAGTTTTTACTTACTATGTCACAATAAGAAGTTTTCCCAAATTCTTGATGTACTGTGCTCAAAATAATGACTTATTTTCTCAAAATTGTGACTTACATTTGACTTACTATGTCAAAATAATGACTTATTTTCTCAAAGTTTTGACAAACTATGCCCAAAATAATGACTTATTTTCTCAGAATATTAACGTACTATGCCAAAATAATCAGCTATTTTCTCATCATCTTGATCTACTGTCTAAATAATTACTCATTTTCTCAAAATCTACATTAGTTTTTCAAAATATTAGCTTACGTTCTCTAAATTTTAAAATGATGACTTTTTAAAATTTGACTTCCTTTGTTAAAATATTGACTAGCTTTCTCGATATTTTGACTTAATATGCCAAAATAATGATGTATTTTCACAAAAATTTGACCATGTCAAAATAATTACTTATTTTCTAAACATCTGGACTTAGTATCTCATGATAAGTACTTATTTTCTCTTACGTTTTTACTTATTTTGTCAAAATAAGGGGTTTTCTAAAAATGTTCACCTACTATGCTGAAAAACAATATTTTGTTTTCTCAATATTTTGACTTACTATGTCAAAAATAATGACTTAATTTCTCAAAACATTTACTTGCTGTGCCAAAATGATGAGGTACTTTCTCCAAAATTTGTCAAAATAATGTCAAAATAATTACTTACCCTCTTAAAATGTGGACTTAATCTATCAAAATAATGATCTAATTTCTCTAAATTTTGATTTTTTTTTATTTTGACTTAATGTTGAGCTTATGGTATGTAGAAATAATGACTTATTTTCTTAAAATATTTACTATGCCAATATAATGACTTATTTTCTCAAAATGTTAACTTACTATGCCAAAGTAATGACACATTTTTCAAAATGTCAACTTAGTTTCTTAAAATAATAACTGATTAAAAAAGCTGATTTTTTTTTCTCTTTATAGGACCTCCATAAATAAGAAACCTACTGTATGAGGTTTTTTTTAAGTACTCATAGGCACACCTGCATCTCTCTTCTAGGCTGAGGATGTATACAGTACCCCGGTATACAATACTGTTTTTCCTGTTTCAACATTCCACTGATCCATACTTAGGAGGGAAGCCTAATCTGTACATTAGCATTTTTTTCTTTTTTTCCTTATTATGCATCACTACAAAAAGATACGGAAGCCCATTTTGACCACATATAGAAGAAAAAAGTCATATTTTTGCTCTTTCTCTGTATCTTGCAGCAGTAACTAAATTTGGATGTACTGTCTCAAAATCAATTACTTTTTAAAAAGTTTACTTACTATTTTGCAATAATTATATTTTTTCAAGGGTTTGACTTACCATGTTGAAATAATGACAATGTTGAAATCTTGAATAACTATGTTCAAGTAAGTACTTGTTTTTGCAAATTTTATGCACTATATCCGAATAGTGACTTACTGTCTTGTAATTTTGACTCACTATGCCAAAATAATTGCTTAATTTCTCAAAAATTTGATGTACCATCTCAAAATAATTACTTATTTTTTGTCGTACTATGTCGAAAGAACTAATTCTCTCAACATTTTGACATACTGTGTCAAAATAGTAATAATATTTCTTGGAATTTTTACATGCTATGTCCAAAAAGTGACTACTTTTCTCATAATATTGACTTACTATGTCTAAATAATGACTTAATTTTTCAAAACTTTGACTTAGTATCTCAAAATAATGATATATGTCAAAATAACTAATTTTCTTGAAATTTTGACTTACTGTGCCAAAATAGTAACTTACATTCTGGGAATTTCAACTTACTATGTCTTAAAAATGACTAATTTTCTCAAAATATTGACTTTCTAAGTCTAAATAATGACTTATTTTCTTGAGAATTTGACTTATTATGCCAAAATAATTACTAATTTTCTCAAAATTTTCACTTAAAATGTTTTAGTAATAACTAATAACGTCGTAATAGTGATTTACTTCCTTGTAATTTTGAAACATATCTAAATATGACTAATACTTATGACTAATTTTCTTGAAAAAATGGGACTTATTATGCCAAAATTATTACTAATTGTCTCAAAAATCTGACTTACTATGTTGAAATCATGGCTTATCGAAATTTTGACTTAATATGTCTAAATAATGACTTTTTTCTCAAATTTGACAAAATAATGACTTATTTCTCAAAATGTTTGTTTAGTATTGTGAAATAATGACATTTATCCCACAATTGTTACTTATTTTTTTTACATTTAACAACTCGTTATTTTAACATACATATCAAAATTTTCCTCATAGAAAGAGTTAAGTCAAAATTTTAGGAAAATAGGTATTTATTTTGACATACAAAGTCAATATTCTACAAAGTAATTTTGTGGAGTCAACATTTTAAATACTACTGCCAGAAACAGAGAAGGGGGCGTTTTTTACCTTGCGGGGCTTCAATAAATAGGAAAACAACTTTGCCGTGTTTTTTTAATACTCACAGCCACACTTGCGTCTTTCCCCTCCCTCCCCTCTCACTCTCTCTCTCTCTCTCTCTCTCTCTCTCTCTCTCTTGCGCGCGCTGATATGATATGTTAGTAGGATGGTAGGCAGTGCTGGAGGATTGCCTGGGCATTAGCTGCTCCTCTTCGGCTGGAAGCAGCGTGAGGAGAGAGAGAGAGAGAGAGAAAGCGAAGGAGAGAGAGCGGGATGATGGCTTCGAAGGAGAGCTCCGCGCCAGGCTTCCTGCCCGTCAGCCGCGAAATGACCGGTACTGCCCCTCTCTCAGTTTTCTGACTGCTGGGCGATGCGCGGTGCAGTTTTACAGTCTCTGTTGTGCTGCTTCTGTTTTTTTCCCCAACTTGATGCACTTTTGGAGAGGCGTGCGCGTTTTGCTCGGGGTGCCTCGTGAGGGGCTCGTGCACTAGCGCGTGCGAGATTGATCTTATTGAGAATCGGTGTGCTGATCACGGTCTCGCGGGGTTCGTCATCAAGCGTTGGTGTGTGTGTGTGTGTGTGTGTGTGTGTGTGATTGCTTGATTGTGTGTGTGTGTGTGTGTGTTATGCATAAGAGAGAGAGAGAGAGAGAGAGGGGGCTCATTCCTTTGAAGTGTCTAATAAGTGTGTGAGGGAGGGTGTGTGTGTGTGTGTGTGTGTGTGTGTGTGTGTGCAGTGTCTGGTCGCTCCACTGAGAAACAAGTATAAACCTGAAGTTGCCTTCTTTTTCGAATGCCCCGTTCCACCTTAAATGCTGCACCATTTAAGGTGGAACGGGAAATTCGCAAAAGCAGGTTCCCTTCAGAGACATGCATTGATGTCTTGAAGGTGTAACTGTTCCCATGCACGTTAACATCACACTCTTTAAAAAAGATGGTTCTTTAGGGTTCTTTTGTACATGGAATGTTTCTATTTAGAACCACAAGTTCTAGATTGTGTTGTGGACCTATATAGCGCTGAACGATTATTTTATCGGAATCGCAATTTGAAAGCGTGCAATTTTTAAATCGCAGAACCTGCAATGTTTATTATAGAATGCAGTGCAAGTTTTAAGGGTGTAAATTTAACCTCATAATACAGAGTCATGGATGTCAATGTATAATCATAACAATCGCAGTTTAAATTGCAATCGCAGTATTGGCCAGAAATGTCACAAATCGTTCAAATAATGACTTAATATGTCTAAATTTCGACTTAATATGTCTAAATAATGACTTCTTGTCGACTATTTGACTTACTATGTTGAAATAGACTTTTCTTGAAATGTTGTTTAGTATTGCGAAATAATGACATTTATCCCAAAAGTGTTTAATTTAGAAAAATTTAGAATTTAGAAATTTAATAACTCATTATTTTGACACACTATGTCAAAATTGTTCTTTTTGGAAGTCTTGAGATAAGTCACAATTTTGAGAAAATAGGTCCTTATTTTGACATAATAAGTCAATATTCTAAAAAATAATATGTAATTTTTTTGTGGAGTCAAAATTCTGAATACTACTGCCATATAGAACCATTTGCATGCTAAAATGGTTCTTTGCATGGAGAAATGGCTGTTCAGATTGTGTTGTAGGCCTGCAAAAGGCTAAACGATTAATCGTTTTTATCAACATCGCAATTTGAAAGCAGGCAATTTTCAAATCGCAAAAACCTGCAATGTTTATTACAGAATACAGTGCAAGTTTTAATGGTGAAAATTCAACCTAATAACACCATTTGCATGCTTAAATGGTTGTTTGCATGGTGAAATGGTTGTTCAGATTGTGTTGTATGTGTTGATTGTTGATCTATGTAGAATCCTTTTGAATCCTTTCTACATGCCATCAAAAGGGTTCTGTAACATTTTCTATGAATCCTGAGTTCATAATGCTTTATAAATGCATTTATAAGGTGTTAAAATGCGTGCATAATACCTTATTATGCTTGGTATAAACCTGTATAATTGCTTATAAGTATTTGTAATTACATGCATAACACTTTACAATGCAAGAGTAAATTACTGTATGATGTTAGGTTTCATGATGCATCATAATATCCGCTCATAAGAACACTGTAAACATGAACGTTCTAATGCACTATAACAAGGGGCTGCGTTCAAGGAAGGGTCTTACGAAAGAAAATCTTCGTGAACACTTTTTGTCTTAAGTGCCTTCTTAAGAAAAAAATACGAGAAACTATTTTTCTTCAAGAACTTCTTAAGAATTCTGAGGCTGGATTCACAAAAAATTCATTCTTAAGAAAAAAAGTTATGAGAAATTGTTGTTCTTCAAATAACTTCATAAAAATGATCTTATATTCTTTTCCTAATTGTTTTCTGAAGAATAATTCTTAGAACCAGTGGTTTTCTTGAAAAAAGTGTTCTTAAATATTTTCTTAGGCTGTAAAAGTTGACAACTTAAGCATCTAAATTTATCACGGATGCTGCCTCTGCTGCTCCTGCTCAACCTCGTTGGTCACCCCAAAATTAGCACAATTTCCAATGAGGATTTTTTTCCCGTTGGCTGTTTCTTCCACCATCACCTTTAATTCTTGTTTGATAAAATTTTTCAAACACTTAGTTTGATATTTTCCCTGCATTTTTCTGTACTCTGAGCGGATTACACTAATTAATGGAAATAACAGTTAATACAAATTCAAAGTGTATCTCGTTGTTTGTGGTATGGAATAAAATAAATGTGGCACACATAAGAAAATAATGAAGATTTTCTTAAGAAAAATTCTTAAGAGAATAAGTTTTTTTCAAAAAAATAATTTTTCTTAACTCTTTTCCTAAGAATAATTCTAAGAACATTCTTTCCTCATTCATTCCTCGTCTTAGGCAGTAAGCGCTGATGAGTTTAGCATCCAAATGTATCTATGAAAGTACCTAAATTTAGCTACTCCTGCCCATCTTTGTCTTTAGCTTTCTGCCATCACCCCACAATTATCATTTTTCAAATGAGGATTTTTTCTGTTGGTTGTTTCTTCCACCATCACCTCTTGTTCTTGTTTGATCAAATTTTTTGAATGCTTAATGTTTTCCCTCCATTTTGCTGTCCTATGAGTGGACAAAACTAAATAACGAAAATAACAGTTTCCTTAGGAATATCTTAAGAAAAGAATTCATGAGAACTTCTTAAGTTTTTTTTCAAGAATTGCATTTAAGAACGTTCTTAGTGTTCGTCTTGTGAACCGCAGCAATTTTTTTCTTAAGAAAGTTTTCGTGAATCTGGCCCCAGTTATTTTTTTCTTAACTTTTAAGAATAATTCTAGGAACAAGTCGTATTCTTGAATAACTTCTTAACCTTGAATGTTTTCTTAACCTTACGACAGCCTCACTTTAGTCTTAGGCTGTAAGAGTTGACCAGATAAACATCTGAATTTGTCTGCGAAAGTAGCTATACCTCGCTACTCATCTCTTGCTTTCCTCATCTCTTGCTTTCCGTTCAAACTAAGATTTTTTTCTTCTTCCACCATCACATCTAGTTCTTGCTTATTAAAATGTTTTGTATGTGTGGTTTATTTTTTTTTGGATGAAAGTAAATAAAGTAAATAACGGTAATACAAATTCAAAATGTATCTTGTATCGTTTATGGTAAACTAAAAAATGCAACAGAGTGAGTCTCAATGAAATAATTAAAATTATCTTATGAGAATATTTGAGAACTTAAGTTTTCCGAGAATTGCATTTAAGGACAATCGGCCTCATTCACCATTATCTTCATAAGTTTGTTCTTAAATTTGTCTATGTCAGATTCATGACATGTCCTTAAATCGTGGAATTGTTCGTACCTTTGTGCTCTTGAGTGTGTGTAAATTCTGTTCTTACCTAAGAACAAATCCCAAAAAAAGAAAACACTGATTAATGCCAGAATCTTCATTAAATATGTGTACCTGGGTTTTAAGACGAAATTTCTTCTTAAGTTTGGTTGGTGAATGAGGTCCATTTTTATAAACTGATTAGTGTTTGTCTTAAGAACCTTCACAGGTTTTTTTCTCAAGATAGCTTTAGTAAATCTGGCCTCACGTTCTGGTATATTTTCTGCATAACACCCAAACCCATCAGGACAGGTGATACCAACTTTGCTAGTGTGACACGCACTTGAGCCTTTTTTAAAATCGTCATTAGAAAAAACACATAATTTTATGTGTAGTGTGAATTTGATTGAGTCGATGTTTAGCTAACTGCTATCTGAACACATATTATAACGCATTATGGAACCTGACTTTATGAGGTCATATGCATTCGCCTTATAAAGTGTTAGGCATTTATACAAGCTTATGCCAGGTCTTATAAGGTGTTACGTATGTCATATAATGGCTTATAAATGCATTTATAAAGCATTACGAATACAGGATTCATAGGAAGTGTTACCAGAGGTTCTTCGATCGTTACAAGCTTGACATCGAACCATTTTTGGTGCACACACAACACATTCTCCATCCATCTGAAGAACCATTTCACCATGCAAAGAACCCTTTAAGCGTGCAAATGGTTCTGTATAGAGCTCAGGGTTCTTCCCTTTACTAAAGAGCCTTTGAAGAAGCATCTTATTTAGGAGTGTGGGTTATACACACAGTCTCACGCGCACAAGATGACACATGCTCACACACACAGACACGGAGCGAACGATCTAATGCAGGCCGCTGGTGACACATGCCGTGCGCCCGCCGAGGCAGCGTGACAGTTGGAAAGCTTTCAGTCTTAATCACTCTGACGCGCTTATTATCTTACTGTGGTAATTAATCTCCTTTACCAACACTGTATTTACAATGCAGTGTCTCCCCTCGCTCTCTCTCTCTCTCTCTCTCTCTCTCTCTCTCTCTTTGCTTATCCTTCCCTCTTTCTTTGTACTTCATCTCACCTCTATCCCTCTGATCTTTTGCATGCTTTTATTTCCCCCTCTCCTTCTGGCTCTCTCTCTCAATTCAGCTCAATTCCTTGGCACTGAGGCACAGTATAGCCAAAGGATAGAAAGTGAGCGGTATACAGTAGTAACAGTAATCCATAGTATACTCCACTCATCGCTACCTCTCTCTCTCTCTCTCTCTCTCTCTCTCTCTCTCTCTTTTTGGCTCAAATCCTTCTTTGTGCTTCTACTCTTCTGATCTTTTGCCCGCCCGTTCTTTCCTCACCCTTTCCTGCTCTCTTTTGGTTTCCTCCCTCTCAGCTTTATCGACACTGGAGTACAATATTGAGAACCAAAGGACGTGAATGGTTTAGTAATCAGTAACTCTACTAATTACTCTCTCTTTTTTTTTATACTCATATCTTTTCTTCCCTCCTTGTACTTC